AGTTTAACAGAACTATAATGATTGAAATATACAGAGTGTCCCTGAAAGGTCTGTACAAAATAAGTCGATTCAAAGCAACTTAGGTCAGTCCGAAATTGCTCATGTAACCGAGATACAGGGAGGTAAATTTAAAAAAAATAAAAATCAGCAAGCACACTCCAATAAAAAAGTATTTTGAAAAATCCATTTTTGCACTGCCCTTTCACTGAACAAATTACATCCACGAAGATAACAGCAAACATTTCTAATTCAAAATAATTCAAATATTTCGGTGCTTATTTCAAAAATCTGACTACGCCACTGAAGTCCACGTAAAAAACTGTAAGAATTACATTCTTTACTTTTTGTATAAGTTAAAAGACAGGTGAGATACAGGCCCTAATAACACAACTCCATCCAATGGACGTCCTATAGACATCCTCATCTGGGATTCTCGGACATCCATAGGACATCTATCAGTTTGTGTTCACTGGATGACGTATGGACATCCATAGAATATCGCGTTTCCAACTTTTTAGCTATCTATATGGTATCCGTCATGGACATCTATATGGTATCCGTTCTGAACATCTGTGGTATCTGTTATGGACATCCATATGGTATCGGTCATGGACATCCATATGGTATAACTTTTATAGGATGTCTGAAATCTATGCATTCATAATATATGGGAATAAGATTTGATCAATAAATAGAATTCATCATGTTTTTGTGATGATGTGATGTAATGATCGTAACATCGTCGTAGTGGCTATTGCCATTTTTTTCCATTTGCCGCATTCTACTAATGCTGTTAACAACATTTAACGACCTAAAGGAGAGGAAGTGATAATATACAGGATCTTTTTTTATATCGTTTTGCATACACTATGAAAATGTATCTCAACGAAGGAGAGTCCAATATTGGAGTTTGAAAAATAATGGAACAAATCAAAAATATTCATTAAAGAAGTAATAAATAGCGGTTTATTTCATTAACCTACATCAAATGTTCAAAATTTTCTCCGTTGTTCTCCAAGCATTTCAAAACTCTTCGCCGTTTGTTGTCGAAAATGTTCCTCAGCATTTCCGGGCCAATATTTTGGCAGCAATGTGTTATTGAGGCTTGCAGCTCTTCAAGGTTATTATTGTCTCTCTTGAATACTTCGTCTTTCAAATATCCAAAAAGGCAATATCCAAAGGCGTCAAATCTGGAGAATGTGTTGGAAAAGAAGGATTAACTCCTCGATTTATCACACGGTTGTCATAAAATTCTTGTAAATATTCTAAATTTGCACGTGTGGTGTGGGCATAGTGGCCCCATCTTGCTGAAAATAGCCAACTCGAATTTCTTCATCATCAAGTTGATTGATGAATGGTTCTAACATCACCTGTCTGTACCTTTCACTATTGATAGTGAAGAAAATCGGTCCATATATTCGCCTACGAGAAACTGCTAACCACACCCCAATTTTTTGAGAATGTAGTGGAGTCTCAATGAAATTGTGGGGATTCTCAGATCTCCGTAACCTGAAATTTTGTGAGTTCACGTATCCCGACAAATGAAACCAAGCCTCATCGCTGAAAAATGTTTGGTCCAATAGCTGGTCATCGTTGAGATTATTTTGGAACCATTGGCAGTACTTCAGACGACGTGGGATATCTATTGGCAAAAGTTGCTGTGGTACACTGGTCTTGTAAGGGTGCATATGCAATCTTTTCTTGAGCACTTTATGGCATGTACTTAGTGGCACACCAGATTGTGAAGATGATTTCTTTTTATTAACGTTTCCAGTTTGGATGAATCTGTTGATCACTGTTCTGATGTGGGCTTTCAAAGAAGATTCTTGAATCTGTACATTAGGATATTTCGCCAGGTACTCATCCTTGCAGGCTACTACCGAGTAACTCCATCCACCATTGATGAATGTGCCATTTCGACAATAAGACATTACAATAAATGTATTCTGCTCCGAGGAATAAGCCATTCCTCTTTTCAACACGACAATCACGAAGTAGAAAACAGAATCGTTTGAAAATTTTAACGAAAAACTGACAATTGTGAGTTTATCAGCTATGACAGTATAATGATTGATGTCAGAAATTAAATTCGAATGTGTGAATCTCCATAAATGAAAGGCGGCAAATAGAGAAAATATTTCAACGGCTACTATGATGTTACGATCATTTATAGAAACCCACTGTATGTATTGTAAATGTGATTATATTCAAGAACACTAGGTATTATTATATTCTATATCAGATTGATGTGATATATGTTGCTTCTATTGGAGCCCCCCTTCATCACTTCAGTTTGGTAGAGTTGACATAATATGTGTTCGGTCTGAACAAATTTTTCAAGTTCACTTTTACACTATGAGGCACTCAATTTCAGATCAATTCTACTAGTTGAAATTCTTCAACATCTTCATCAACACATCCTGGAACGGCTCGCTTCACTTCAAGTGATCTATTTATTCTCCGACCAAAATGGCATAACGATAAAACACAAGCAACTCGTCGTTCACACACAAATATTCAGGAACAGATTATTACAATAACGTCACTCATTACAAATTCGAACGAATTATGCAAAAATTTTCAGGACGCTATCTGAAAATGATATGAGCTTATCCCAAAATGGCATAACGATAAAACACAAGCAACTCGTCGTTCACACACAAATATTCAGGAACAGATTATTACAATAACGTCACTCATTACAAATTCGAACGAATTATGCAAAAATTTTCAGGACGCTATCTGAAAATGATATGAGCTTATCAGTCAGAGTAGTCTCAGATATTTATCAATGTGTTGTAAAATGGACGTAATCATCCTGTATTATGAAAAAGGCGGCGAAGAGAACAGATGTCAGTTGATGTCAGTAGTTAATTTCATGAATTGTCATTTTTCGTACATGAACTTTATATTTGAATAAAATTTTCTAAAAAGCCTTTCCATCTTGACAAAGAACCTAAAACAACAGGAAATAACGATATCTGAAGATATTTCCTACAAATGCATAACGTTAATAACAATATAACAATGGCGGACGGCATCACGGCTCATATCAGAGCTCTGACACGGCGCTGACACTGTGGGCATGTGGTCACCGAAAGAGCCGAACGTTGTCGATGATACCCGAGACGATTGTGTTGAGATACATTATCAGAGGAAACATTATCAGAGGGGACATGGAATGGACACCATATGGATTACTTCCAGATTGTGTCCATGGACACCTTGTACATATAATGGACACCATATTGATTACTTTACCTGGACATCCATTAGATATCTTCATGTGGACATCCTATTGTTGTCCAGAATGTTTCCATGGACACCTTGGACATATAATGGGCGTGTACACCTTAGTAGAACTTTCAACTCAAACCATGTTTATAATGATCCTTTTTTACATAAATAATTAATGATTGACGACATAATTCGATCGAAAAATTAACTGGAATGTTTCATTTTTGGACATAAATAATAGTACCTTCTGAAAACGGACCCTCTTATGACGTAGAAACCTCATCTCGCCATAGTTAAAAGAAAATACCAAACGCCCGACGGAGACTGAGGCAACTGATATATTAATTCTTTCAACTGTGATCTCGCGCTAATTCACTCTGTCAGAAATCATGTATCGTTCATCTTTGTCTGCAATAGTCTTGTTTCAGTATTAGGGTTTTGACGTCACATCATCGCCTCGTTTTCAGAGGTAAAATCGGGCATTTCAATAATTTTTTATAAAACGTAGGGAGCTCACAGCAAGAAACGGTTTGCGGTGGTGAGCTAGTTTGGGTGAGTTCTATCGAATTATGAAATAATTTTTTTTTTGTGATATGAGCCCATTGACACAATACTGAAATACAAAGAACATCTTGCCGCAAGTGCGGCGAAAACAACTATCTCGGGCTGGGCGGAGGGAAAAACACTCACGTACTGGTCTGAATTACCAGGATTAACCCATTCGAAGGCGTTCCTGCCTAAACCATCGGAAAAAATAACCAGGCAGATCCTAGAATGGAGCAGGGGTAACCTGCGAATTCTGACCGGACTGCTTACGGGACACTGTCGTCTAAGATACCACCTGGGAAGGATGGGTATGAACCAACAAACGGACTGTCGGTTCTGTTGTGTGGAAGACGAAACGGCTGAACACATTTTATGTTCATGCTCTAGCTTAGAAAGACTAAGGTTCGGCACATTTGGCTTTACCAATTTAGAACCTATCGATTTCAGACAAATCTCACCCAATTCAACCATGAACTTTGTAAAAAGATGTGGATTGTACGGTGAACTGTAACCTCTAGGGGTGAGCCACAATAGACCCATCTGGGGTCGCAGTGGAGGGGAGGTATTCGCCCCACTCACAAGGAACCTAACCTAACCTAACCTATTAGGGGGAGGGGGGTTCCAAAATGCGACATATTCAATTTCTCTGACCATAAAATAAATGTTGTGGAGTTGACTTTGGGTTTCTACATCTATGATATTCAATTTTGCCCTGTATCTCCAAAACATAGGGTAAGAAAATTTTGTTTGCATTATCGTGAGTTTCACAAGAAAAACCGCAAATCTCTATTTCTGAAAATAAGTGAGATATCCCGTAGGTATATCAAAAATGGGACAGCCTATAAAAAAATTTGCGACTACACGATATACTTTCCCTATTTTTTGTTCATTTACTGAACTAAGTACTATCCAATAACGTTTTCATGAAATATCATGCCGAACCTTCATTACCACACTCCATGTAAATGCAAGCAAATTCTAATAAAGCAAAGTTTACAATAACTGGGCAATTGCATTCGTCAAAATATCATTTTAATTATCGGAAATCAATATCGATGATATTGAAATTATCAAAACTCTCAAGTAATCGATAATATCCATATTAAATTCAATATTATCGATAATATCGATAAGTTTTACCATTCCTAGTCACTTCCCACTCTGTATGAGGTCTATAAGGTGAATAAACTGGAACCAAAGACAAAAAGTCACAATTATACTCATATTAGAATCTTTTAATTCCAAACTTAAAATATGAGAGTCAATGGATGAATCAATCCTAAAGATAATCGTACATATTTTTAAAAATGTATTGAATAGCTATGGATGGGCATATAATTCATAAAAAGCAGCACAAATGATAACAGTGACTATGTTAACTACTACCACAGATCATTTATTGTGAAGAAAGATTCATCTGTCAAGATGTCAATTCATCTTCAATTGCGAGATTGATAGTGCTTCAAACTAATCACAATATAGTCATGCAATTAGTGTGCAATTTACCGATACATTTTTGCAGATACATTAATAACTGCAAGAGTCTATCAATTAAACTCTAATTGCAAGATTGATATTGGTTCAAGGTAATTGCAATATGAATCATGCAATTAAAGTCCCATTTAAATATAAATGTTTGCGGTTATATTAATTGCAAGAAAACATTTGTCGATGAAACTCAAATTGCAAGACTAATTTTGCATGATGATCATTGCAACATACACCATGTAATTAAAGTTCAACTTACAGATGAATGTTATCAATTGCAAGATGCCAACTCTTGACAGATATTGCCATTAGTTTAATTGCAAGAGCTTTCTGTCCATGAAGATCTAATTAAAAGATGAAACTTTTTTGACAAAATCTTCTTCTTTTGTATTTCTTGGTTTTCTGACTCCTTCCGGTGAAAATTCCACCAGTCAAGTTATGTTTATAGGATGTGGCAGAAGGTTGTTTTTGTTAGTTCACAAGAGAATGTAAGAAGAAGTCCAATTTCTAATCTTCCAAGTAGATTATTTGCAAGGGTATTCTTTCAATTAAACTTTAATTGCAAGATTGATATTGCTTCAAGCTAATTGCAATATGAAGCATGCAATTAGAGTTCCATTTATAGATTAATGTTTATTGCAAGATTTATTTGCCGATAAAGTTCAAATTGCAAGATTAATAGGGGTATTGCATCAAGATAATTGCAACATAAATCATGTAATAAAAGTTCAACTTTCACGATGAATGTTATGTTAATCGAGAAATGCCAATTTTAGACCGATTTTGTTATTAGATTAATTGCAAGACCTTCCTGTCTATGAAGATCTAATTGAATGATGATTGAAGATTTTTTGAAAGAATCTCCTTCTTTTAGGTTTCTTGGTTTTCTGACTCCTTCCGGTGCCAATTCCAGCAGATTAGGTGCTTGACATAGGTAATGTTTTTACTTTTTGAAAGGACGTATAAAAAGGTCGTTTTTGTTAGTTTTCATCAGTGGATGTAATTGTTATAACATTTATGGACGATGTCTAATTTCTAATCTAGCTATTAGATTATTTGCAAGAGCATTCCATCAATAAAGCTCAAATTGTAAGAATTTTAAGATTAATCTGTCAATATTTTTTTTTGCACTTGGCTCAATAGATAGAATAGGCTTGGATCTTTTATAATTGCCAGATTAGCTTGCAATGAGATATTGATTTCTGACAAAATTATATTGAGAATTATACCATTCATGAGATTTTTCTGTCAATTAATTTTTTAATTGCAAGATTTCATCGAGCCCATCGAAAAATTATTCATATTATACAGGGTGGGTCACGGTGGATGGCCTATTAGAAGTATCTGCAGAACAAAAAGACAGAACATTCTGAAAATTGGGTTGCTTTGATAATTGAACATTCTCTGTTCGTCTAAAATATTTTCATCAATACAGTGTTGCCACTCCTATCAGAACCAACTAGCAACTTTGTTATTTCAAATGGAACACCCTGTATTTTATTGCATTTTTAGATTCTTCCTGAGGAGCTGATTTTATCGATGTAGCATGCTTGGGGTCAAGCAGAAATGATTACAGAGATATAGGGTATTCAAAATCTAGATTTTTCTATTTAAGTATTTTTTTGTGTCGAAACTATTCATTATTGATCAAAACGGCGTACATGTCCCTATTTCAACTCTTGATTCACTATCTACTGGAATTTAATTGGATAAAATACTAAATAATAAAAATGTCAGTAGTTAGTGGATCAAAATTTAAGATAGGGACATGTAAGCCGTTTTGATCGATAACGAATAGTTTTGACACAAAAAAAATCCCGAAATTGAAAAATCTCGATTTTGAACCTCCTTTATCTCTGTAATCATTCCTGCTAGACCCCAAGTGTGATGCATTGATAAAATCAGCTCTTTAGGAAGAATGTGGAAATGCAATAAAATACAGGGTGCTCCATTTAAAATAACGAAGCTGCTAGTTGTTCCTGGTAGAAGTGGCAACACTGTATCGATGACAACATTTTAGACGAATAGAGAATGTTCAATTATCGAAGCATCCTAATTTTCAGAATGTTCTGTTTTTTCATTCTCCAGATACTTCTAATAGGCCATCCACCGTGACCCACCCTGTATAGAGCTCAATTGACATAATCTTACAATAATTATAATAATTGATCAGACCAACTTGAAATAGGTGTTAGATGAAAACTCATCATAAAAAATAATCAGTCCTATTTTAATTTTTGATAAATTCAGAATTCGAAATATCTTGGAGCAGCACTTCGATTTCAATTTTGGGGTAAGAAAGTTATATTGTATATAATGTTTCTCTAGAATTTAAAGGAAAAAAATAGTCGAAACGTTTGGAGATTTTCAACACATTTTTTTAAAAGTTCTGTTCAGTCATTTAAATTCCAACTATAGATTTCAGTTGTGCTACTTTTTATCAATAGTCAAGAAAAAAATGGAATTGTATTATGATTATGATAATTCCAGAACTTTCCACAAGTTCCCTACATAAACTTGACAGGTCAGAACCATGCAACAAATTCCTTCATCAACAAAAAAACCATCCATCTATTCCCTCCCAGCAACACTCCCCCAAACCACCTCAATCGCTCCCAGAACCAGACCTGGACCCTGAAGGAGACCTAGACCTCGAAGGAGACCTAGAACCGGACCCCGACCGACTTCCCGACTTCGACCTAGACCTGGACTTAGACCTGGACTTAGACCTGGACTTAGACCTGGACTTAGACCTAGACTTGGACTTAGACCGAGACTTGGACTTTGACCTAGACCGCGACCTGGACTTGGAAGAGGCCTTGGAAGACGACCTCGATCCAGAAGCAGACTTCGATCTGGATCTGGATCTCGACGGGGACTTGGAAGTCGACCTGGACCTCGACTTTGACTTCGATCTGGATCGCGATCTGGATTTGGATCGGGATGCGGATTTGGAGCGTTTGGAAGAGGCTCTGGAGGAGGCCCTGGAGGCCTTGTCGTCGTCCTCTTTGTCGCTGTCGTCTTTGTCTTTGTTTTCTTGGTCCGAGACGCTTTCTTGTTCGTTCTCGTTGGTTTCTTCTTCTTCTTGCGGTTCGTCCACTTCCATTTCTTCGTCTTCCTCGCCTGCACAGACATGGTTTCGTTAGTGATTTGATTGAAAGCCGGCGATTTTTGTTTGGTAAAAGTCGATACCACATTTTAATTGTGTAACAACTTGAAAAGTTATAGACCGGCAAGTAATTTTCGGACGTAATTTCATCCATTATGCCTTTTGGAGGGAACCAGTATGTATATATTTTGAGGTTGGAAAATGATACATCCTGGGTTCGTCAAGTATTAATAGTCCAGTACGTGGGTATATCGAATTGGGGTGTTTGAATGCAAAAGGTGGGGTAGTGGCGATTTTTTAATATGTTTTGAGCAGCGTGGGTCAAAGAGAGGTGTCTCTGGCTGCAAGGAGAACCTGTTGATAGATAGATCTATCACACAGGACTCCGTGCAGTACAAGCGGAATCTTTCTGTGGCCTGGATCGATTACCGAAAGGCATTTGACACAACGTCACATGAGTTACTCGTGTACTTGCTCAAGTGTCTCTCGGTACCCGATTCTATAGTGAGATGCATAGAACAACTGATGCTGGTCTGGAAGACCCGCTTTACTATAACATCAGGTAATGCGAGAGTTCAGACAGAGCCAGTCATCATAAGGAGAGGAGTATTTCAAGGGGACTCCCTTAGCCCACTCCTATTCTGCATCTCACTTCTGCCACTATCCGTTGAGCTCCGAAAAACCAGAGGATACAACTGCGGCCCACCCAGTTACCGGAGGCATAAAGTCACTCACTTATTCTATGTTCAATTCAAAATCAAAGTCAAGAAACATATCCTCTTGCAAAGAGAAAATCAAACCTGAGTGAATGATTTCTCATTCACTAATTTATTTCATCATGTCATAATGTAAATTTCATGAGCTTTTTGTTTTATTATTATTTTATTTGATTCTGTTGTTTATTTCAATAACTATAATTTTATTTGATAACGCATGAATAATCTCATACCAGATATGAATCTGTCTGATTATTCATGTTATTCCATTGTAAATGTTAATGATTATATTTATATTTATGTGAGATGCAATGTAATGTTTATAGCAAAGAATGAAATGAATAAATAAATAAAAAAATGTAAAAAATGAATTTGACTTCGAGTTCATCATCGTATCGTACGACAATCGACGATCGTGAAACAGAATTCCCCTGCATAATAATAATAATATAATAAAAATAATATATTTATTTATAATACATGATACATATAACAAAATATGACAATATTAGAGACGGCACATGATTTATGATTATAAATAAATATGACTGTGATTCCGTTTGAGCTTAAGAGCTTGTCTACGAATAGTCATATTACCTGAAACAGATACTTTTATATTCCAAATCATGACTTTGTGCCATTTGTGTTTTCACCTAAAAATTTATCTGACAAAATATATATATATTTTTTAAATTATTGATAGGCACACTGCATTAAGTATTGAAAAACAAAGACAAAAACTACAATAAACGACAATAATATAATATATGATTATCATTTTTTTTTTTTATTATTCTCACTAAGGTTCATCAGAAAACAATATTATGAATCTAGTAATGAGCTGATAAAACTTCTGTTTTCCATTATCCATATGAATATTCTTTTTTTGAATGTGAAGAAATTCATTGGTTCTCTCATCGGCTCTGGCAAATTGTTGAATAGCCTCTGCCCAATGTATTTATAAAATCTTTGGTCACGGCTTTTATTAGCTTTGTCTTGTTTGTATAATTTCTTGGATTTTTGTCTCGTCTCGTACGGGTGATTCAGCGCTTCTAAAGTGGTTCTGTTATTGAAGAAATATAACAATTTTTTTTGCAAAAGAGTTGTCTTATATCGAGAAGTTGAACTTCATTGTATAATGATTCAGTAGGATATTTCATGTCTTTTTTCATAATGAGTTTGAGTATTCTTTTTTGTGACATATTGAGTATATTCAAATGAGTTTTTTGACACCACCCCAGGCTAATATGCCATAGTTAAGAATCGATTCTATAAGTGAAAAATAAACTGTTTTGAGATGTCGGAATTCCATAAATCTTCTTAGAACTTTGAATTTATACATCAATATTCTCATTTTCTTCACAGTTCTCTCTATCTGTATATCCCATCTTAAGAAACTATCGATATAGATACCCAGATATTTAATTTCTGTGACTCCTTCAATATCTTTATCATCTACTGGAATAGATGAGAAATTTGGTAAGTGGCTATTATATGATACAAACGGGAGATATTTGGTTTTTTCTAGATTCAATGTGAGAAGGTTAGAGTCAAGCCATATTTTAATATCTCTCAGAAATAGTTTTGCCTCCTACTGAACCTCAATCCATGTATTGCCCTCAAAGAATATTGCTGTATCATCAGCATAGGAAATTATGTTAGCAGGAGATAAAGCCAGTTAGTCATTGATATATATCGTGAAGAGAATAGGACCTAAGACTGTACCTTGGGGGACACCATAGGTAGGCATATAACGACAAACCTGCAGAAAGCAGCAGATCGCATTGGGTCCCTTACCTGGCGGTTCCAACTGCTTCTCCCTGTACCGCTGCATTCTGAACTCGCCGGCGTCCATTGGCCGGTGCTTGACGACGAGCCTCGTATTGCTGGGCGCCTGGCCCTGCTTTTGTCGACGCTTGCTCAGCCGCACCCGCGTCTCCAACTCGTTGAAGTAGATGCCGTCGGGCCGCACCACGAAGAAATAGTTCTCTTCGTAACCTGACGGGCAATAGAAAAAATTAGAATGAAATCATCATAGAATTATAATTCATCTACCTAGTATTAGGTTTCTGATGTCTCAGATGTCTATTCACATTATTTTGATTTTCAAAATAGAGCAATTTAGAGTTATGAATCTGAAAGTTACCACCCATGCAATAATGAATTCGCGCCTTCGAAGTGCGCAGCTGATGTTAGGTTAGATATTTGTTTCTTTTTTTTATTTCATCATCTAATAGCGAATTCCATTGGCAGGAACTAGTGGAGTGTTCTGCACTCAATGAATATGTTTCCTTCTTACTCGCAGGTGTTAAACAGAGGTAGATATACACTCAGTGGAGAAACACTCTAGCAGCTCTTGCCAATGGAATAAGCTATACATAATTCGTATCGTTTACGTATCCTAAAAGACGGATTCTACTAACTGATATCCAAGGTACAGACATGGAACTCTATGTCTGATTGTAAGATGTTTTGTGTAAAAGTTCTTATAAATATTAGTTTACACGCTCGTTGAAGTAGTTGAAGTAGTGAAGAAGTAGTCCTTTTCGTAACCTGACAGGCAATAGTAATATCTTTATTACTGTTAAAATCTATAAAGGTAATATTAACGTCAAAAAACACTGAATTCCTGAATATAGCTGGATTCTTAATGTTCTTAATTTCTGATAGTAATTTGTTGTGGGCCTTTATTACTCTATAATGTGTTTTGTTTTTTGGAAAAAATCAGTTGTATTTTGTGTTAGACTTTTGACATTTGAATCAAAAACATAATACCTCAAAACCCATATTTCCATGAAAAAACAATCGAATTTTACTCTCGGTTTTGACTAAAGTAGACTCATGTCGAGAATTGTGAATAGAACCCTCTGTTCAGCCGCACCCGTGTCTCCAACTCGTTGAAATAGATGCCGTCGGGCCGCACCAAGAAGAAGTAACTCGCTTCCTAACCTGACGGGTAATATAAAAAATGAGAATGAAATGAATGAGGAAGTTTCCCACGAACGAATTATCGTAGAATTATAATTCAACTACCTAGTAGTAGGTTTCTGATGTCTCAAATGTCTACTCAAATTATTTGAATTTTCAAAATAGAGCAATTTAGAGTTATTAATCTGATGGTTACTACCCATGCAATAATGAATTTGCGCCTTCGAAGTGCGCAGCTGATGTTAGGTTAGTTTTCGAATATGCCTTTTTGAAACGTCTCAATTCGTTTCTTGATAAACATTCTGACTTGAGTAATAGGCAGCATGGATTTCGTTCTGAAAACTCTACGAACACTGCTATGTTCTCATTACTGAACAAAACCATAGAATACGTATACGTTGATTCAGGTGAATGTCCAGCGGTAGTTCTTTGTGATCTTAGTCGAGCTTTCGACTGTGTCAACCATCAAAAACTGAGGTCGAAATTAGAAATGTATGGAATAAGAGGCGCGTTGTCTTAGTTGGTTGTCGTCATTTCTTCACAAAGCAATTTGTTTCCTTACAAGTGAATAAAGAACATGAAACGTGTAGAGTTAATTCTGAGCCGTTAAGCATGAACTAGGGAGTACCACAGGGCTCTGTATTGGGTCCCGTTCTGTTCATTTTATATGTTAATAGCATAGACAGTGTTATAACAGATAGTCATACGCCGATGATTTTTCTTCCGTAGTTTCTGCGCGTGATTCCAAAATATTAGAAAATAAATGTGCTGGCTCAGTAAGTCAGGTATCAGATTTCCTCAACAACCATGATTTATTTTTTAATGTCGACAAAACAGAGATTGTTCGTATTCACAATATTCAAAACAAAATAGAAGATATTAGTTTCACTGTTAATAGCATGGCATTAAGGAACACTAATCTGAGTGTGAGATTTTTGGGTATTCTTCTTGATGAGTTCCTTAACTATGAGGCTCATTGTCAGCAATTAACTTCTAAGCTCAACTCTCTGAAGTTCCTTTTTTCATCAATCTCCGATCAGTTTTCAGTAAGGATCAATTTCTAAACATATATTTTGCTCAAACAGAATCTAGATTGAGGTATGGTGTCAGTTTCTGGGGTGGATCAACTGCTACAATGGAAGTGTTCATTGCCCAGAAGCGAATAATACGGTGCATAGCAAATGTTTCAGCTAGACTAGCTAGAGAATCATGTAGAAGTATCTTCAAGGAATATAGAGTTTTGACACATTGACATCTCTTCATATCTTTGAATTATGTGTATATGTTTTCAAAAATAGATTAACTTTTACAATGAATCAGAATCTACATGACCATAGCACAAAAATTAAGAATCACTTTCATTTGTCGTTAGCAAGGTGTAAAGTGAGTTCATCTGCCCGGGACTGCATTGGACCTATAATATTCAATAAACTTCCTGAAGATTTGAAGTCTGTGAAACACATTATTATGTTCAAGAAGATGTTGAAAAAAAATTTATTGCAAGCATGTTTTTATACAATGTCAGAATTTTTAGAATAATATTAGTTTTATGTATTACCGATTCTATTCTAAAGCTATTTTCGCTTCTCTATCTAACTCTTTTTTCATTTTCTACTACTGATTGATATTATATCATATTATTATATTATTTTGACAATTCAAATGTTATTTGTCGAAGTGGAAATGAAGTATTATTATTATTAGGTTAGATGTTCGTTGTATTTTTCATTTCATCATCTAATAGCGAATTCCATAGGCAGGAACTGGTGGAGTGTTTCTGCACTCAATGTATATGTTTCCTTCTTACTCGCATGTGTTAAACAGAGGTAAATATACACTCAGTGGAAAAACATTCCACCAGTTACTGCCAATGGAATTCGCTATAAATAATTCGAGATTTACGTGTCCTAAAAGACGGATTCTAATAATTGATATCCAACGTACAGACATGGAACTCTATGTCTGATTGTAAGATGTTTTGTGTCCCCTTAGCATATTGAAGGACTAAAAGTTCCTATAAACATTTGTTTACATGCATAAAGTTAGCAGGACCGTTTCGGAATTTTGAATTTTTAAGTGGGTTCGTTGAAGTAGATGCAGTCCGGCCGTACTACGAAGAAGTAGTCCTCTACGTAACCTGACGGGCAATAGTAATTGTAATTTCTTTACTGCTGTAAGAATCTATAAAGGCAATACCAACGTCAAAAAACGTAACCACTAATAAAATTACATTAGGAACGATCAAAAAACAATTGACTGAATTCCTGAATATAGCTGGATTTTTAATGTTCTTAATTTCTGATAGTAATTTGTTGTGGACTTTTATTGCTCTATAATGTGTATTTTTTGGAAAATCAGTTGTATTTTGTGTTACTTTTGACCTTTGAATTGAAGACATAATTCCATGAAACCTATATTTCCATGAAAAAACAATCGAATTTTACTCTCGGTTTTGACGGAAATAGACTCAAGTCGAAAATTTTGAATGGAACCCTGTGTTCCAGTCGCACCCGCGTTTTCCACTCGTTGAAGTAGATGCCGTCAGGCCGCACCACGAAGAAGTAGTTCTCCTCGTAACCTAAAAGGTATATGGGTATAAATCGAAAAAAATGTGCAAAATCAAACTGTACAATCTGGAAACATAGATGTGCGAATAAATTAGTCTACAAAATCTTCCAATCAATAACCTTACCTATGTTTGTCAGTAAATCGGTATTTTTTGTGCTCAAGAACATAGCTTTTCTTTTCTTAGGAGAATTTGAATGCATCAAGAAATGTCTGGTCGGTTACGTTTATAATATTCACCAAATTTTCACCAAATGACCAAATGGATCCTTGGAAAAAAAAAACGTAAACTACATAGCCTAAGTAGCAAAGCTTCTCAAACTTTCGCAACATCCTCAAAGTTTCTAGAATTTCTAAAACTCTTCCAAACTTCCTCAACTTGCCAAACTCCCCCGAATTTTCTCGGACGACTTCCTCAAACCAAACTTTCTATGACGAAAAAACGTGTACATTACCTTTAAACTTCCTCAAAGTACCACGGAATTTCTTAAACTTCCTCGAACTTCCCCAAACTTAATCATACATCCCCTAACTATCTCATACTTCCCCTAACAATCTCGGACACCCTCAACTTCTTAGAAAGTTCAAAAACTTCCCCATACTTTCTCAAAGTTCCCAAAACACTTCCTCGAACTTTCCAAGATGGAAAAACTTCCTCGATCTTACTTGAACTTCTTCAGACTTCATCGAACTTACTCAGGCCTTCTTGATCTTACTCAAAGTTCCCTAAACTTCCTAAGAATTACCTCAAGCCTGTGCACCAAAATTCCCAAGTGATTACCCCTCCCCCCCCCCCTCCAGTCACTACGCATACAAAAATCGTCATGTATGAAGATGGGCGCTCTACCAACCTTTGCTCGCTTTGCTCTTGACGTTCCAATTGTACTCCCTGGCCATTTTGTACTCGTATTCCTCGTCGTCTTGATAGGGGATCTCGTTGACAAAGTCTTCTCTGCGTTTTTGTAGGGTCTCTTCGGTGGGTAGGAAGTAGGCTACGAATTGTTCACCACTTTCGTCCATGACACCACTACGGAAAAAAAAAGTGGTTGCAAAAGTGTCAAGGTCATTTTTCAATCAAGTATTATCAGTATGCGATGATATCCTACTACATATTTTCCAATTGTAGGTCATTTTTAATAAATAAAATCATCAACCATTCCTTATTCTCCTAATTTTTGGATCCCAACGTAATTGAAAAACGAGAGGACATGTCCGTATTTGGGACAAATTATCATTATCAATGACTAACTTTAAATACCCTCTGTATGTGTAAGAACATTATCATAACATCTGTTCATTGCACTGCATTCAAAACATCAATTACTGAAATAAGGAACAATGGCCAATTGAAATAAAAAGCATAACTTCATTTCAATTAAAAATAACGTTGCAACAAATCTACATTTTAAAGGTTGAACATAACAGAAAATCAAAATACTAGAATGTTCTTTATCCGCGTCCAATTGTTTCTTTAACTACAGTATGATCATTTCTCGACGACACAAAACATATGTACAGGGTGATTAACCATAAATGCCGCCCGCCCCATTTGAAATATAATCTTAAATGATTTCCGATAAAGTTTTTTTCTGCTGCATCAGAAAATACAGGGTGCTCGGAACAAACGATCTACAGGATACTATTTGATTTTTTCAAATGGAACACCCTATTTTTCATTGTATTTGAAGAGCTGATTTAATCAATGTATTACACTTGGGGTCTAAATGATTACAGAGAAATCGAGATTTTTCAACTTCAGGATTTTCTTGTGACGAAATTATCGGTCAAAACGGCTTTCATGTCTGTATCTTAACTTTTGATTCACTATCTACTGACATTTAATAATTGAAACAGATACAGGGAGATCAGAATTCTGAATCTTGATCCACGCTGTAAATGTTCCAATTAAATGTCAGTAGATAGTAAATCAAAAGTTGAAATAGGGACATAGGAGCCGTTTTGACCAATAATGAATAGTTTCGACACAAAAAAATCCTAAAGTTGAAAAATCTCGATTTTGAACACCCTATATATCTGTAATCATTCCCGGTAGACCCCAAGTGTGATGTATTGATGAAAATACAATGTAATACAGGGTGTTCCATTTGAAAAAATCAATTAATACTCTGTAGATTGTTTGTTCCGAGCACCCTGTATTTTCTGATGCAACGGGAAAAAAATTCTGAAAAATCATTATAGATGATTCTTCAAATTTTTGAATTGGTTCAAAAATAAGTGAGATAGAGGGGGGGACATTTATGGTGAATCACCCTGTACAAACTCTAGAGTCAGCAACTAACATCAAAACTGTACTCTGACATCAGCCAACTTGGCAATTATTACAACAATTTGGGATAAATCAAACCCAAAGTACGTACGGCCTGTTTCATTTTATTATTATTAGAAATGTAATGATTCCATCCAGAGAAGAGCCATTCGCCTTGTGGCTAATGCCACACTCACTAATTCTCTGACATCATTGGAACACCATAGAAATGTCGGCGACCTTTCAGATTGGATACTTTTACGGGAAATGTTCAGAAATCTCTATCATTCCATCACTAGCAATACCAGTCAGACGAACTTGACAAGTCCAGTCAGCACATCCATTCGTCGTCAACCTTGAGATATCTCGAACAAATCTTTACCAAAACTCGCTCGTCTATAGAACTGCAAATCTCTGGAATTCCTTGCCAAAGGAAGTATTTCCATGAACTTATGATCTCCAGATGTCCAAAAAAATCCAATACCTAACTCCTCTTCCTATCGTACCAAAGTACGCACAATGTTCTCCGAACATTATAGGGATTCCTTCTCGTTTTAACCTTTAGAATGTATAAATTTGTTTTTAAAGAGGAAATTATCATGTTTTCGCTAATAGTAATACCAAGCATCGAAATGGGTGTCTTCAAAGGTATGGTTACTCCTGACAAGCTTATGTTGGGCACAGTGAGATCGGCTTTTCTAGAGAAAAGGCATGCTTGTGCTTTGTTTGCAGTGAAATCTACCAAGTTATTGGATCCCCATTCGAGAATTGTTGCCAAGTCCATATTTATGTTGTCAACATTTCTTCCTCGTTCGTTTCTGCTTTGCCTGGCTGGTATTGGAGCCCTGGAAGAGAAGGCGGTATGGAAGGTACTATCATCCGCGAAGCTGTGTACTGCACATGAAGTTGCTTCCAACAAATCGTTGATATGGAGTAGAAATAGTGTGGGTGCTAGAATTGATCCTTGTGGAACACCAGCATTTATGATAAGAGAGTCAGATGAAACTCCGTCGACCACTACATGGAGAGACCGTTTGAGAGATAACTAGCAAGCAGAGAACACTGTGGAGGCAAGCCATAAGATGGAAGTCCGAGGAGTCCGAGACTCGATCGAATGCCTTGGAGATATCAAGTGCCACGGCTATGGTTCCACCATATTTTTCAATAGATTGCTGCCATATATGTGAGACGTAAGCGGGCAGGTCACCAGTTGATCTCTGATGACGGAAGCCATATTGCCTATCGTTGATAATACCTGAATGTTCCAGGTATTTCATGAGCTCGATGTTGATAGCTTTCTCCGTGATCTTTGAAATAATAGGTAGGAGTGCGATCGGTCTGTAGTTGCTAGGTAGGGCCTTTTTGCCTTTTGAAGTTGAACAACTTGCAGAGAACAGGTGTTAGTTCGGGAGCACATTTCTTGAGAACAATCGGTGGGATTCCGTCGGAGCCACAAGCTTTGTTGGTGTTGAGACCCAATAAAATCTTCCTTATAGTACGTTAGCGAAAGGTGATCTCGGGCATATGACTCAATTAGCGTTGTTTGGAGGTTTTTTTCCCGATGAATCCAGAGTGGAATTTCCAGCAAATAAATGCGCAAAAATGTTGGCTTTCTTCTGGGCAGTTGTAGCTAGTGTTCCATCTTCCGTGGTTAGAGGAGGAAACGAGCTGGAAGTGAAGTTTCTTCCTACAGCTTTGGCGAAGGACCAAAATGAACGGGATCCGTTAGGACATTTCTTTGATGATCGAATTGTCTCATTGTATATGCCTCCAACCTCGACATTTTTGCTCTAGTCTCAGGACCTGGATTTTTCTGCCATCAATGGAATGCTGCCTGTCTGGAAGCGACAGCTCTAGAGCAGTCTCTACTGAACCAGGCCTTATCGGAAGATGTTGCAGTATTCGGTATGTAGGTTTGCATCCCCAACATAATGATTTCAGAAATTATCTCAACACATCGTGTTGGATCTGCTGAAGAGAAACAAACCCTCTTCCATGGAAACGCTGAAAAAACATACGAAGACCTTCCCAGTCGGCCGAATTGTAATGCCACATGAGACGGATAGGAATTGTGGTGCTGGATGGTACATGGAAAGAGCAGGTTGTGGAGATGAGGGTGTGGTCAGAGTTTCCAAGTGGGGCACAAACTTATATTCTATATGGATCAGGATTGCTGGTGAGAAAAGGATCAAGTGTATTGGCCGACTGGTTCTTGACATCTGGAATACGGGTTGATAGTTCGACTAGTTGTTAATCAGTTTTGTTAGAGAATTTGAGCCAGGCTGGGTTTTGTACATTGAAGTCTCCCATGATTATGATTTCAGCTGTTGGATGGTTCTCCTGAATGAAGTCCAGTTTGAGTGATAAAAACTCAAAGAGGTTGTTGTATTCATCAGCATTAGGCGATAGGTAAAGGCAGCAGATAAATTTGGTCAGTTTGGTATTGACTAGCTTGAACTAGAGTCCCTGTATATAACTTAGACAAGAGTCCGGACACAGCTATACTTCTGTCCTTTTCTGTTTTCAAAAAATGCATTGATGATTGAATAGGTCGCGTGCAAGAACTGTCAGATGACCGACCCTGGAGGCAAAACATATTTGTTTACAAGTGATCCAAATAGTTTTCCACAATTATTTTGGCATATGAATCGTATTTTTCCGCTATTCATCAATTCGCTAATGCCATCACATTGTGCTGTTGTAAAATGCACAAAAACTGCAGCAAAAGATGAAGAAATCCAGATGGTACATTATGATTCAAAAGTAAGTACCTACTATAGTCACTCACATAGTTTTCATTTTTGAAATTTGGTTATTTCTCTGATTTCTCATCGGAATTCCTTTTGCAATAGGATCAGCTAATAGAAATATACCTGAAATTTCTAGAAGAATGCAAGAAGATTGGATTCATGCAATCAATCGGTAGGACTGGTCTGACATGCTGACGATCGTGTGTGTTGTAGACTTTTCAATCTATTAGCAGCATTAGCTTGAATTGCAGAAGTGGCAGAAGGCAGAAGGAATTTTAATAAGGAATGACAACATTTCATAATGATTACTATGTGAGATTACTATTTACCTGAAAAATCATATTCCCTAGTCTCTTGCTGCATTTTTGGTGCATTGTACAACAGCACAATGCGAAGGCATGCTTGAATTAATGAATAACGCAAGAAACACGATTCGTTTGCCAAAATATTGTGAAAAACTATTTCAACCTTTTGATTCCTCTGTAACCAAATAAAAAAGTGAGGTTGTGTTTCAATAATTCACAGAAGAATGAGGTTGTGTTTCAATAATTCACAGAAGAATGAGGTTGTGTTTCGATATTTTGCCTCCAGGGTCGGTCTTCGTGCACGCGACCTATAAAGGAATAAGACATGTATATCGAGCTCTGTCTTCTCAATTCCCCTAGTATCAATGATTGTCAGAAACCCTTTTGAGGGTTAGATTATTTGCCAAACCGTTCATAGCCGTAGGTAGAAGTGAGAAATAGGGCAATTTTAAATAGAATAACTATAAGATATTCGAATAATGAACAACAGGGTGTTCTAATTTCGAATCGATAATTTTCATAATCAATTCCTGAGATGGCTATTGCAAATTTTTGTCATCAAATATTTCTTCACTTCATTAGATATAAGAAAGATAATTTAAGTTTTCTACGTGGTATCACATACAGCCAAGAAAATATAGTTGTTTTATTCTGTTGGGATATAAAAAAATAGAGGATAGAAATGATTTTCTCCGATTCTCTCAATTTAATAACACTCATCAGAAATAAAAGTGACAAAATCAAAACAACAATATATTTGATAGCGAGTGCTTTATTAATTGTGTTTCCCACCTCTTCCTGCAGTCTACATTCACCTGTACATTTTGAATTTGATCTGAATTAATAACACCGTGGACTGATGATATAGCACATTGCAGTTTACCTAAATCTTCTAGTTTTGATTTCAAACTTTCAATTTCTTTCCGCATCATCTCATTCTCATTTTCTTTCTCTGCGAACGTATCATTCAGTAATTCCCAATACGATGACGACGGGACTCTTTTTTTGAACGTCTCTATTTCATAAATTGACGGCACAGCAGACTCTTTCAATTTGAAATCCATCAGCTTGAAAAAATCTCTATCAAAATGGGCCTAAAATTCATCCTTTTTGTACTGTTTTCACAAGTAAATTTGAATATTTACCTCACATATTGCGGATTTCTTGAAATTAATTTTCCATTCTGGACGTTTCATTGCATTCTTCCATGACATTGTCTTTGAAGGATCATTCGGAGAATTGAATAACTTGAATCCCTTTTCTGATGAATTATCGCAATAATGTTCGCAGCAGGACATTGAAATAATTTAAAATCCTAAATTTTGGCGGTCATAAAATTTCAAAGTGACAGTGACAAACATTCGGAATAATTGAAAAAAGCGAGCGGGACGACTATGGTGTTCCGTCACATTGTCAGGTGGACAAACCAAATGAAACAAAATATTAAAAACCCCAACGGCTGTCAGTTTTGTGTCCGGACTCTTGTCTAAGGTATATACAGGGACTCTAGCTTGAACCACATCACATCAAAGTTTTTCGGTTCCAAACTCTCTACACGCTGGCATGAAAGGTTAGCCTTAGCGTAGAGGCAGACTCTACCTTTGAACCTGAATCGAGAATGGAGTTCGTAACCAGGACAGAGCATGTGGACCTTGTTGGTGGACGAGTTCACTTGAGTTTCTGTTAGTGCCAGAATATCTGGTTTTTCCGTTTGTAGATGATGGTGGACGTCATCGATGTTTTTGTTGAGTCCGCGGATGTTGCAAAAATTAATCTTCAGAGATGAGTCCCCTCGAGTACCTCTCGCCCGGAAAACCGAATGGAGAGGTATTTTACTTCCGGGGTGTTTTACTCTAGTGTTTTATTCATAGAGAGGAGAAATTGGGGAAAAGGATGGGGGAGACCGGAAAGTATCGACCGAACACTGAAACATGGAGTGATCCATTTCACAGCACACAAAGTCGATATGGTGGTATTTCACCGGGCGATGAGACCATCTACCACCTAAAGTTATCCTTTCAGTCGCCTTTTACGACAGACAGGATTTACCATGGGGTGTTATTCTGAGCCGCCCCCATACGGCATATATAGTATTTTAGATTCACAATTATTGATTTTAGTACTGATAGTCCTTTTTTCTAGATATGTTTTCAAGAGATTGTTTCCAATACCTCTTATGCCCTTTGAATTAAGGTTTTTCAGAAGAATATTGTGGTCAACTGTATCAAATGCTTTTTTTAGGTCCATAAAAATACGTACTACATTATTTCCTTTGTTGAGCCTGTCTTGTATAAAATTGATTACTTGTAAAACTGCTGACTGTGTACCACTCTTCTCTTGAAATCCAAATTGATTCAAGGCATCCATATTTTTCATTGATGGAATCATCAATTCTCTTTTTCATAACTTTCTCAAGTATTTTGGAAAAAATACTCGACAAAGCTATTGGTCTGTAATTTACCGGATTTTGAGCCGTTATAGGTTGCGTGCAAAAACTGTCAGATGACTGACCCTGGAGGTGAAACATTGTGAAACAAAACCTCACTGTTCTTATTTGTTTACAAAGGATTCAAATAGTTTTACACAACTATTTTGGCATTCGAATAGTGTTTTTCGGCTATTCAGTAATTCAAGCATGCCATCACATTGTGCTGTTGTACAATGCACAAAAAATGCAGCGAGAGACGAAGGAATCCGGTTGATATATTATGATTTAAAAGTCACTCACAAACAGTTTTCGTTTTGAAATTTGGTAATTTCTCTGATTTCTCATTAGAATTCTTTCTGCAATAGGAGCTAATAGAAATACTTGTGAAATTTCTAAAAGAATGCAAGATTGGATTCATGCAATCAAACGGGAGGACTGTGGTCTGACATGCTGACGAAATATGATCGTGTGTGTTGTAGACATTTTCAATCTATTAGCAGTAATCAGTATTAGCTTCTATTGCAGAAATGGCAGAAGTAATTTTAATAAGAAATGACAACCTGAAAAATCATATTCCTTCGTCTCTCGCTGCATTTTTTGTGCATTGTACAACAGCACAATGAGAAGGCATGCTTGAATTAATGAATAGCGCAAAAAACACGATTCGTATGCCAAAATATTGTGAAAAACTATTTCAATAATCTGATTCCTCTCTAAACAAATAAAAAAAGTGAGGTTGTGTTTCAATGTTTTACAGAAAAGTGAGGTTGTGTTAATGTATTTCGGTCGGTCATCGTGCACGCGACCTATTCGGAGAATGGAAGATCAGTAAAAAGATAGGATATACATGGGATATACTGTGAGACGGCGTAACTTGAAAATTATAGCTTCAACTGTCCTCTTTTTTCTCATTGCAATGTACAGTATTCTAATGTACCTAACAATCATTGAATTTCATTTTCTTGATTCTGTTAAATAATACAAAGATTTAAGGAAAGGGAGAATAATATACTTGGAAAGTAAGGACAAAAAATTCAATTGATATCTCTTGTTCTTCTGTATTAGTATATCTAAGAATTGAATGAATTTAATCAGAATTGATTTTAATTTAAATAAGATGCATTATTTTCCGCAAATTAGAAGAGATAATTGGTATACAAATTATTTTCCAGATTTTTTTTTCAATAACTCCGTATTTATGAATAGTACTCTGTATGAGATATGCAGATGATATATATATGTATATGATATGATATTGATACAGGTGACTCTTAAACCATTGGCAGTCTGATATTTGCAAGACATTCAGAAGGGTTCACAGGTTCATACCATGACACAACAAAATATAGATTTCTATATTTTTAACTCAACTTGGTGTAAGTTATGACATTGAAACTTGATATTTGTAGGTGTCAGGTGTGCCTAAATCCATAGAGGTATTTGATATTTTAGTGAAAACATGTTTTCGTAATTTTTGAGGTATTATTTTTTTATTGTTATGGAGAAGGCAAATCTTAAAATAATGCATACCAGCTTTCAAAGTACAATATTGAAAAACAAGTCTGGAAATCGGCCGACCCCGCTATAAAATAGTTAATGGGCGCCACTTAAAGTTCAACACACTGTACTAGAACTAATTTTTCTGTGGGGCATATAGTTTTTATCAATTATCTTGACTTTTACTGATAAAATATTTTCAAAAAAATATGCTGACCGTAAAATTACCCTTTTCAGGAAGAAATAAGTTCTCCTGAGAAAGCCACATTTTCCATGAAAAAGGTATGGCATAACAAAAATGAAGACATTGTTTTATAAAACAGTAATAAGATCAATGAATTTGGTGCTGTATCAAATGATCCCAAATATTATACTAGTTAGGGAGTTGGGTGAGGTGCTTCTCATCCCTGTACCACCAAATTGCTGAAAATGAATATATGGAGTTATAGAAATCTAATTTTTCAAATGCCATACAGTATCAAATGACCCATAATGGGGGCAAACATTTTAGTTTCATTTCATCAGTGTACTTTCATGCACTACTCTCAACTGACAGCACAGTGCCTAAAGGAGTTGATTCATGTGGAACCATAATTCTGGATATGATTCATGCTGTAGCCTGTGCTTGTAGTCTACCAGTTTTTTGCATCAGTGTTGAACTAAACTGACAAAGGAACTGAAACTTTCTTTTTTCACTTCTCATGAAATTTATTACCTCTGATTCAGATTATTTGAAACATTTGGAAGTATTTCATGCTTTGTGAATGGGGGAAATAATTGCAAGTATTGAAGGTAGAAATAAGGTGTACCATACCTGAAACCTGGCCTGAAAGAAAGAAATATTTTCAAACTCACCGAATCATAGCCTGAGACATCTCCTCAATTTGGGCAGGTACTTGTTTTCCTACAGGTGCTGGGTCTGAATCAAAAATAACCTGAGCACAGGGATACTTCCAAAGATTGAAGTCAGGATAAACTGGAAGGATGTCTACTGGCACCACATTAGGCTTGCTGTAATGTTTCTCAATGGGTATCTTGGAATCCTCAAATGTTTTTTCAATAGCTCTAATTTGAGAATCACGATCCATGTACAATGTTTCATTATTGAGGGACTTTTTGATGCTATATCCAACCTTTGCCTCAACTTTGTCCATTGTTTGAGGCTGGAACCTTGTTTGTTCTGTTGAGATATACTCTGTTCTTCGCAACCATGATACAGATTTTGCATGATGACGTGATCTTTTAGAATCCTGGGGTGTCAAAATATCTTCTTCAAGTAATTTTTCATCAGCAGGGTCTAAGAGAGTGCCAGGTTCAATGGCATATATGTCTTTGTTGATTAAATCTATATTAACACCTAAGTCATGTTCTGTTAATACTTCATATCTGTAATTGCGTTCTAAAGAGGTTGGGTTATACTGAATGAACCTAAAAACAAGCAGTGATTCTTGTAGAACTCTAGTACATGAACTCATTTCATATTATAATATGGGACACTCTGTGAAAATCCTAGTTCTTCCAATGTTATAAACTAGAAGCTCTTCATAATATAATGAAATTATGGAAAATGCACCTACCTTATGGATTCAAATGGGTATGATATGAACTTCAAATCAAATGGAATATCTGGTAGTGTATTGCAATACTTGACTTTACAAATCAAATCAGACCTGGAATGACAAAATGATAAATCTGGATGAAACATGAAAATAATTGTAAAATAGTACCTCTTTTCCACAGGTTTAGCTGGCCTTTTTTCTACGCCACTCGTTGTGTTTTCATTAGCCTGTTGGATAGTTGGAGGCATTTCGAATTTGAGCTCAATTTCTTCCCCTCAAATTCCAGCCAGCAACTGCAAACGAAAACGCAAAAGTATAAGAAAGTTAACATGCATTATCCAACATTTCAATTTTTTAACTTTACACAACAATCACAACTCACAACATAACATCATAAAACATAACCTCATAACCACAACGTCTAAAAGAAGAAGAAGAACACAAACGACGAGAGTCTAAAGTTTTCGAACCATTCCGAAACCTCATTATAGGATTGGTCAAGGATTATAAACTCTACTCTCCTTGAGGATTGGTCACAGTGAATCACGTGACTCACTTACATCTTACATGATTATATCCTTATGATTATGTATGTATGTACATCAGGTTTCAGGGTGTCCAAAATTCGGGAGGTATCATTGGGATCTCAACGGTAACCATATAACAGACACTTCAAAAGTTTGAAAATATCGAATACTTCCGAAGATATTTGAAAAAAAAACAAAAAACCGCGCGATTTCGTTTTATTTGGATATGACAAAATGGATTCCTTATTATTGGTGCCACTTTTTCCGCTGTATCCAATAGAATTGATAGATTTGTGATCCGACGTTTTCGTCTCGGAGGAGCCTTCATCAATTTTGTTTTTTAAATGGTCGAACAGATGTTTTTGGCCCTCAAGAACCCCACTTCTAATTCCGAATTCAACGAAATATTGCACTTCACAATTATTCGACGTTTCGAACCTAAAAACCATCATCAGTGATATTTGATGATGGTTGCGAGGAAACGATGAAACGCTGATCAAAAATCTGATGACTGCATCTTGTAGAGAAGAAAGAAAAACGGTTGCAGAAATGTCAAATTCATTTTGGTCTATCCGAGGGTCTATCTTTTATGTAAAATGAAAATACTGAAATGTCAATATTATTTTGTGAACAGGCTGTAATTTTTATTGAAATATTGAGGTTTGTGGTTATTTTATTTATTCATTCATCAAACAAATAACTTCCAGACAGAATATATATAGGATCTCGTATAAGGAAGTACATAATAATTATAAATCTATATAGGTAAACAGTTCATAATTCAAGATACATCAACAACAATATAAAGGGTGTCCGCTAAAAGGAGGTCAATCCATTAACCACATATTCCTTGAACAAAAACAATATGAGTTTCTAAATACCATTTTTCATTTTAGCCCATCATATTCGATATACAGGTGTCAAAGTTTTTAATTTCTTTGACAAAGTCAAAGAAATGAAAAACTGTTTTTTTCTAATTACTCGCGTATTTGATAAGATATCAATCTCAAAATTGGTACATTACTTCAGCACAAAGAGTTACATCGTGTGAGGAAAACATAACAGAAAATAACTGTCAAATATTCAAAATACTGGGGGTCAAGTACACACTTACTCCCATATTTTTTTTGTACGTGCGCTAATGACTTCCTATCTATTTTCCTTCAAGTGTTCAATCATTTTAGAGTAATTTGTGTTTCTTGTAAAATTTCGATTAAATCATTTGTTTTTAAGATAATTCGAAAAGTACTGGTTATTGTTTGATGCCTATGCGGCTTACGGTAATCTCATAATGTTCACATACTCCTATTTATTTCGTCGAAATTGGAAGAGGGCGTATCTTTTTACGTACGAAAAGGTAAATATGGAAATACCGGGTGCTCAGAGCGAATGTATTAAAATAATTTTTACAATTTTTCCTTTTTTTTTTCTGTAAAAATTATTTTAGTACATTTGCTCTGAGCACCCGGTATTTCCATATTTACCTTTTCGTACGTAGAAAGATACGCCCTCTTCCAATTTCGACGAAATAAATAGGAGTATGTGAACATTATGAGATTACCGTAAGCCGCGAGGCATGAAACAATAACCAATACTTTTCGAATTATCTTAAAAACAAATAATTTTATCGGAATTTTACAAAAATCTAAAAATACTCAAAAATGATTGTACACTTGAAGAAAAATAGATAAGAAGTCATTAGCGCACGAACAAGAAAAATATGGGGGTAAGTGTGTACTTGACCCCCAGTATATTGAATATTTGACAGTTATTTTCTGTTTTGTCTTCCTCACACGATGTAACTCTTTGTGCTGAAGTAATGTACTAATTTTGAGATTAATATCTCATTAATTTACGCGAGTAATTATAAAAAAAACAGTTTTTAATTTCCAACTTTGACACCCTGTATATCGAATATGAAGGGCTAAAATGAAAAATGGTATTTAGAAACTCATATTAAGTATTTTTGTTCAAGGAATATATGGTTAATGGATTGACCTCCTTTTAGCGGACACCCTGTATAAATTGGCAAATAGAGAATAATAATATTTGTAGAGAAAGCATATCAAAACAACATTACTAATTATTTTATCCAATTCGTCCAGAAACAATAAGTTTTTTCACATCATTTTTGAAATTACCTATATTTCTGCAATTGGTTGAATTCAGTTATTTCCAAATATGCAAAGAAATTACAGGAATTTAGATTTTCAAAGTGGTTTGAGGAAGAATGAAATTTTAATAATTTTTTGCCATGCCAGATCTGGCTGGAAAAGTTCAGAAAATCTGCCATAAAAGGCAAAAGTCCCATCAAGTATCAGCAGAGGAACCCAGAGGAACCGCCTCAGCAAACAATAGTTATAGTTTATGCGAAGTCAGTTGAATAACTTCCGTTTTTAAGGACGATACGAGGATTTGACTTAACATTGGAATAGGAATGAATGAGATATTTTCTACTGAGGGCTCCCGGTATGCAGCCTGTGCAGTCAACGTGGACTGGACGAGCGCTGTCATGCCAGAAACCGCGTCTCATTGGTTACTCCTGAATGTTGATTGGTCAGAGTTGCATGGGCGGTCTTCTGTGTGATAAGAATCTTCTAGCCTGCGCTGGGCAATGCGGTACGAGCTAGGTTGCCTTCATTGGTTCAACTCGAAATTCAGAAAATTATTATTTCAATCGTAGTGGTTTTGTGTTCTGGAGGCCTTTTCATGAAGTCAACGAAGTGAGTGATAGTGATTCGGAGGAAGAGCAAGCGGAGTTCGCCAATAAAGACTCAAACGCAAAGGGTAATTTTGAATGTCTATTCGCGTCTCAAGGAAGAGAATAATGATTCTTCAGAAAACCAACTTGTGAATGTGAAGAGAATACTGGAATCAACTGAAATAATTTATACTCATCATATACAGAGTTATTAGAACCGGAGGTGTTGTATATAGATCATGAAGTTACACGAAAAAGAGTGGGACAAAAATTGAAGAAGCTTGGTGATGCTTGGAAAGAAGTAATTCGTCGAATTGTATATAGATTGAGAATAAGGTGTCAACATTGCCAGATATCAGTTATAAGTTGAAAGAATACGCGGATTATAATTACAAATCGTTAAGTACGTTGCGAAATGTTCTACTAGATTGCGGGTTCAGTCATAAGAAATTAGACAAAAGGATGGTGATTATGGAATCAAGACCCATCGTAGACCATCGGCAAGAATATCTACGTAAAATAAAGGGATACCGTGAAGCGAATAGACCTATAATCTAGATGAAACGTGGTTCGACACTCATGACGTTGTTCAATACGGTTGGGTAGATGATAGCAAAAACTGTAATGTGAGTGGTCCGAGTTCGAGAGGCAAAAGAATTATAATCCTTCACGCCGGCAATGAAAATGGATTTGTGAACAATGCATTGTTGTTGTCTGTAGAAAATATCAAGCAATCCTCTGCCGATTATCACGAGGATATGACGGCAGAATTATTTGAGAAATGGGCAGAGCAGCAGCTTATACCAAATATTCCAGAGAATCCAGTCATCGATATGGATAATGCGTCATACCATTCACGTCAACAAACAAAAATACCGAGCACCAACACGAAAAAGGCTGTCATTATTCAATTTATGGAGAAAAAAGGCATGGAAATATCTCCTAAAAAACTGAAGAACGAATTACTGGAAAAGATCAGGAAACAAAATTTCCCGGAGGAATATGTAGTTGACAAACTCTTTGGAGCACACGGCCATACTCTCACGTTTGCCCCCATATTACTGAGTTTTTAACCCCATTGAGATGGTCTGGGCTGCTATTAAAAGCAAAGTACGTGAAAATAACCAATCACCGCAATTTAGCGAGTCAGTTTCAACCACCATCGGGACAGTATCCAGTGATCATTAGGGTAGGTAAATGAAGATTCAAGTCATGAAGAGTCCGAGAGTGACTAGTGATATATCATCCAGTATTTGTGTACAACAGTTACGAAAACTAATAAGTGGTATGTTGTGAATCATATTGTGATTATCATAACCAAAGTGTGAAGCTTAGGAAAGTGAGGTGACATATGTAGTGAAATTGTGTTAAGTGTAGGAAAGTGATGTGACATTAAAATTGAAACTGTGGATCTTTACCTATTTCTAATTTCACCAAAACAAAACGCCTTTCAGATTATACCATTTATTCACTGAGAATTTACATTAGGTTCAATGTTATTCATATTTTATTTGTTTATACGTCCATGATTTTCTTCGTATGATTTTGAACCATTATGTTCAATAGGCCTTTTCATTTATATGACAAATGACTATCTCTGTTTACATCTCGCATCCAACGACAGTGGCGGCCATTTTCACTGAAACACTTACACCACAGTACCACTCTCCTCAGTAACGAATAAGTAACGTTTTTTTGTAATTAAATTATTATAATACAATTAATACACACCAGGAATATAAAAACAAGAATACTATGTTGTTATATTGTTGTTTCTCAATGACGTATGCCCATGGTGGTTGACACTGTTGACATTTGACAGAACGTCAATAATACCCGCCATATTCGAAATGGCCAATCAGGATTTTGTGTTGGAACTATAGCCAATGAGACTTCACCTTTGCATTACCCAATGAATTGTTGGATCTAAAAACGAGCGCATGCGTCTTAAAAATATATCTAGATGAAAAGGCCTATTTAGTAAGTTACCTTGTATAATCCATATACGTATTGATAAACAATACGGATCATAACGGGTGCCAGGATGAAGCCAAAAATATGAAACAAATGAATATCCATAAGGATTTGGTGGCATGATACGCATGCGCCATGCGCTATTATAGTAGTCATCAAAGACATGAGACATGCGTTTCGGTGGACAATGTCGTTTACTAGCCTTTCAATCAAAGCAGTATGTGTCTGATCGTTTCAAAAGGTCATGACATTCTTTCCTTATGGATAGTCATTTGTCTTCAAAAATCGGCTTCATGTTTCGCTATGGAAACAGATAGAGATTATCCGTTTATTAATACCTATACATATGGTATAATCTCGAATATACGTGTATATACATAAAGTAACTCTACCAATCAGAAATTCAGAATTATTGGCATTTCCATAGTACTTATACATACATATCTTGAAGCTCATTATACTACTGATAATTTTTATCCAGTTCAATGTTTTATTTTTATTTAATTTTGTTGAGAATTTTTATTAAGTTCAATGTTATATTCATATTTTATTTTGTTGAGAATTTTGATTTAGTTTAATTTATTCATATTTCAAATGTAGGACGCTAGGGCTATTGGCAAAAACCCACTAAAAACAAGTAACCAGCCATGGGTGTCTCATGGGTGGTCTGGAAATTTACCAATATTCGATACTCTCATCTCATGTTCCAAAATGGGTATATAGGTTATTTTTGAACAATCAAAAACTCATTTAAAAACAGCTTTAGTTTGTGAAAAAAATATTTTACCCGCCGCTGTGATTTTTTTTGGCTTTTTCAACTGACTTCCTATAAACTATACTTTCTTTTTGGTGTTTTATGCACCTGATCAGTCCAGTGTAAGTTGCATTTGAGAATCATTTGAGCTACTCCCAAATAGAACATGTATTCAAATGTGAACATTCACAATGAATGCCACTGCACATGCTTGCAGAGGGCTATAGCCATATGGGAAAATAACATAATGTCAACAGAGAAAATCACAGAAAAAAATCAAGTTCAGCAGGTAGAGCAAACATAAAAAACAGGCCTTACATACATTCTGAATCAAATAATCCACCTAGCAATTTGCAATCAATTATTGTAGCTGCATCAATTTTCTATCAGCAAGGCTAGAGATATGATTTTTATTTTTCAATCCACTAGATTCTTTTTTTCCTACAGAATATTAAATCTTGGATTTTTCAACTACTGTAATTTTGTCTAGCTATATGGGGATTGAATTGAGAATTATATTTTGCTTGGAAAGTCTCTGGTTTTGGTGATTCCTCTTCTACAGATTGAGTTTTCTTCAATTTAGATAATAGTAGGTTGGCTTTCTTCCTTTCTTCTTTTTCTCTTTCAAGGCGCTTCATTCTTAGTATCTGCAAATTCTGATGTATTGTGTCTGTTTTTTGTTTTTTAGGTGATCCACCTTCTGAGTTATCACTACTACAACTAGTTTTATGCTTGTGTTTATTCAAGACACTCTTCTCAGGCATTTTGCAGCTACTGTTCTCTCTGTATTCACTTTTGTTAATTAATGACTGATTGAAGGTGGGTTTTGTAGAAGTTCTATCAACAAATTTGGGTTCTACTTGTTTTTTTTTATATCCTGTATGTTTTTTAATAGTCTGCAGTGGATCTTCTCTGAGTTTGCATTTCAAATCTGTTTCACCCTTGATTTCATTTCTGTTGGGAGCAATATCATACCAACTCTTCTTGCCCAATGCTTCATTAGTATCTTGACCTAAGTAAGTTAAATAGCCAATTTGTTTCTCATACTTTTCACGTTCTTCTTTCTGTTCTTTGTCATGTTCATGATTACGTTTTTTTGAATCTGCAATTCCCTGTTCTAACTCCTGGAAGAAATTGATGTGTCCTGCCTGTGCCTGTAATGTATTTTTATCTTCATCTGGAGGATTTTTATGAGAGGAATCTTTATTTTTGTTCAATAAGAAGGCTCGTCTAGCTTCTCTTTCAGCTAATTTAATTCGTTCTTGTCTAGATTGTTCTTCCTCTGCAGCTTTTGCTTCATCTCTTCTTACTCTAGCGATGTTTTCTCGTGTTCGCACATGCCATCTTTTTTTTGGAAGAATATTCATTATGATTTTGATATACTCTTATCCCGAGAATTATTTTTGATAGTAAACAAAAACCATATAAAATATATCTTTTAAAGTTGGACTATTTTGATTTGATTTGTTTACATTGTTTTTCTATTTACACTAACGTCAGTGTCAGTTAATGACATATGACATATGACGTGAAATGGCACTGTCTCAGATGACGACAACTGTAAAGAATAATAACTTCTTGATATAATTGTTAACCATATAACCCGTCAGACAGTCTAGATATTTAGCCGTCATTGGTTAACCCATCATTGTTAACCCCTTTTTTAGATCTTGGATTGAGATCGTGGGCTTATATGTTAACTCACATCCACATCATCTAGAACTGGAATATATTGATGGATTATTATTTTTGAATTCAAACAATAAGGGGAAGGATGCGAGAACTTTTATGCGCGACCGGGCGTAAACTGGAACTTTACCGCCCGATTTCGCGGGCGTAAAATAAAGTGGCACTCTGGCGCCCGACTTTTAATATAGGTACCTATCGTATAAAGGTAACCACTAATAAGCATTTCTACAAAGTTCAGGACATCAATAATCATATTATAACCTCTATGATATACATACATAAGTTGATTCCATCAATTATCAATGATATTTCATAACGCATTTTTATCGTGCTTGAAAGTTGAAGAGGTATTCACATTGAAAAATCAAATAAACCTGTCGTGTATAAAAAATGTTGTATGCATTTCGTGCGTAACTTGCTTTTATGGACCTAGACGTATTAATAGCCCTCACTCTCACTCGAGTTCTTAGTACACACTACGGTCCATTAAATCCTATTTCACGCCCTTGCTTCATAATAGTAATTAATGTATCGAGGGCGTAAAGTAGACGTTTATGGCCTGCGGCGTGAATAATGGCGTCAGCCAAAATCAAGAAAACCAGCAATATTTATTATCAAGTTTTTTATTTACACGCAGTGGTGGTAGGGCAGTTCGATCGGTGTGACCGAGGGTGCGACGCACTGGGCCCTGCAGGACTTGACCTTTTTTATGTTTTTATTTCGAGGTTCATTATTGATTTCAATATTATTCACTGATATAACGGTGTTTCTTAAGTACGTTTAGAAAATTCAGGAGCATGTTGCTGACGTCAAAATAAAAAGAGAGAGAGAATTATTCGTTCCTGAGATACAGAGTGTCAAAGTTGAATTTTTATTTTTGATTTTTGTTCATAAATTTCAAAATGCTTGTGATATTCGAATGAAGTTTGGTATCTAGGAGTATTTTTCAATGAAAATATCAAATTTTCTGTTAGTTTGTCTTTTTCGTGAGGGTGGCGCCACCTGCATGTCTTTTGAGCTTTTTGAAAAGTCATAACTTTTTTGTGCGTACCTGTATCACGTTTCATAGTAGAGAAATAGATTTCTAGAACACTTTTGTGTGAAAAATATATTCTTGGTAGAGGTAGTAGAGGTCACTGCGAGCAAGTGTTTTCAAGGTTGGTAGAACAAAATAATCATCAGTTCTACAAACCTTGAGTGTTTTTTAGTTGGATTTGAAATAATCGATGCATTGAATTATTTCCATGGGGCTGGTAAGATTTTGCGCAATATCTCTCTTTGTACTGGATTATCGGGAGTTTTGACGTACTAGATCAGAATCTGTGTCAGACTCACAGTGTACTAGACAAATACGAATTTAGTGAAACCGGCAACCCTGTCTATGACCTACATAATTTTTTTTTTCATCACGGTGTCGGTGAATCACCAATCTATAAATCACATATCACATAATAAATAGGGTTAGGTTGAAGGTCGTTGTCATGCCAAACGTGACGAAAAGTGCTGTTCATAAACAAACTAATCAATCTTATCTGCTGTATGTGATTCCTTATATAGCTGAAAATTTACTACTACACTGCAGTAGCTTTTATCCATTCCACAATTGCAGATATGTCGGCCGCCGAAAACAGGGTGCTCATGAGGTCAATGGGGCAAAACAGTATCGTTCAGCCGTTGTTGACGGATTTATATCAAATCACGATGGCCTATGCTTATTGGAAAGCGGGAAAACATCATGGTAACGCAGTATTCGATGTATACTTCCGAAAAAACCCTTTCAATGGCGAATTCACCATATTTGCTGGCCTTGAAGAATGTTTGAAGTTCCTGGAGACATTCAGGTATTCCGATAGTGATATAGCTTACTTGAAACAAATACTACCAGCATGCATTGAAGAACAGTTTTATGAATATTTGGCAAGTCTCACAGCCGATGAAATCAAGTTGTATGCTGTGAAAGAAGGAACAGTTGTTTTTCCAAGAGTTCCTATGATAAGAGTGGAAGGTCCTTTGATAGTTGCTCAACTGTTGGAAACAACATTATTGAATCTAGTGAACTTTGCCAGCTTAATGACCACCAATGCAGCTCGCTACAGATTAGCTGCAGGAAAACTTAAACTTTATGAATTTGGATTGAGAAGAGCTCAAGGACCTGATGGAGGCCTGTCAGCTTCTAAATATTCCTATGTTGGTGGGTTCGATGGTAGCAGCAATGTTCTGGCAGGAAAGCTTTTCAACATTCCAGTAAAGGGCACACATGCCCATGCATTTATAACTTCTTTCAAATGCTTGGAAGAGTTGAATACTTCAACATTGGTTCCAAAACAAGGAGGCACTACAGGAGATTTTCTGGGCAATACTTTAAGATGGAGGGAAAAACTTTCCCAGTTGCTCAATATTGTATTATCTGAGGTGAATAATGGTGAGTTAGCTGCCTTTGTTTCTTTTGCAACTGCATTCCCAGATGGTTTTATGGCACTAGTAGATACATATGATACAGTACGTAGTGGGCTATTGAATTTTTGTGCTGTAGCACTTGCTCTACATGATTTTGGGTATAGAGCAATAGGAATCCGTCTTGACAGTGGTGACTTGGCATATCAGTCCCAAGTGGCGAGAAACTATTTCAATAAAATTGCAAGTGAATACAGCCTTCCCTATTTTTCTGAACTAAACATCATGGCTTCTAATGACATCAATGAAGAAACCATTCTCAGTTTGAATGAGCAAGGCCACTGTATCAATTCATTTGGCATTGGGACCCATTTGGTGACTTGTCAGAAGCAACCTGCCCTGGGATGTGTCTACAAATTAGTGGAGCTAGATGATGAACCCAGAATCAAGCTTAGTCATGATGTAGCCAAAGTCACCATTCCAGGTAAAAAAAATGTATTCAGGTTGTATGGCCATCAATTTTCTTTGATAGATCTCTTACAAAGACCAGACGAAGTGCCTCCAACAAATAACCAAAAAGTACTGTGCAGACATCCATTCCAAGAGTCCAAAAGGGCCTATGTTATCCCATCCAAAGTGGAAGATTTGTTGATTCTGTTCTGGTCCAATGGGAAGATTTGTCAGAAATTGCCTAACTTGCAAGAAATCAGAGACAATGTTCACCATAATTTGAGCATTTTGAGGAATGACATCAAGAGAAGTTTGAATCCTACTCCATATAAGGTTTCTGTGAGTGATAATTTGTACCATTTTTTACATGATCTGTGGTTAGACAATGCTCCTATAGGAGAGCTGTCTTGATACAATTGATTTTTTTTGTTGTTCTCACAGGTTTGTGTGAGATTATTATCTCTTCTCCATTTGTGTCTTCTGATGATTCCTGAAAAAGGGTGAAGAAAATTGTTTGTGTTTCAGGAACTATTTTCCTCTAATACTATGAAAGTAAGATATGGGATGATCCAGATTTTGTCTTCAATGATGGTAATTATTGGTAATAAGAAAGTTGTGATGGAATACTATCCCAAGAGCCATCCTTTTTTCATTTGTTGATTGCTCAACTTTTTTTTAGAAGTAGAGCATTAAAGAGAAATATGTACTTATCATATTCATTTTAATCCAGTCAGTGTTTTTTTTTTCATAGGTGTCTCGGGGGGGTCACTGGGAGTGTAAATTCAAAATGGCGACCAAATCAAGCTTTTGCATATGTTTTTTTGTTAAAAAACGGTTTTTCTTGAATAACTCGGTCATTTTTGATTCTACAGAAAAAGTTTGGGGTCAAAAATTGTAGTAAATTTGGTTCTCTACAAGTTTGTTCCTTACAATTTTTCTGATAGGATGGATATTTTGTAAATTAAACCTGAAAAAAGCGACAAATTCGAAATATTTTCATCATCATTTTCATTTTATTGTATACAACTTTCGCCCTATTAGTTGCACCTGCAGAATTGAAAAAGAGGAGATATTGCGAATATTTCTGAATGGGTACATATTTTCTGGTTAAATTCCGAAAATATCGATTTTCGGAAAAACAGGTAAAGACCAAATTTGTCGAAAGTTTGATTCTCTACAAGTTTGTTTCTTCTCATTTATGGTGTGAAGTTGAGAATAAACGAGATAATGATGATATTTCGATTGAGTCGTTTTTTTTTTAGGTTTAATTCCGAAAATATCGATTTTCGGAAAAACAGGTGAAGACAAAATTTGTCCAAAATTTGATTCTCTGCAAGTTTGTTTCTGTTAATTTATGCCGTAAAGTCGAAAATAAACGAGATAATGAAAATATTTCGAATTTGTCGCTTTTTTCAGGTTTAATTTACAAAATATCGATCCTATCAGAAAAATTGTTAGGACCAAACTTGTAGAGAACCAAATTTACTACAACTTTTGTCCCCAAACTTTTTCTGTAGAATCAAAAATGGCCGAGTTATTCAAGAAAAACCGTTTTTTAACAAAAAAAAAACAGTTTTCGAACATACGCAAAAGCTTGATTTGGTCGCCATTTTGAATTTACACTCCCAGTGACCCCCCCGAGACACCTATGAAAAAAAAAACACTAAAAAATTATTCACGGGTAAGGTCCGTTATTTGGATATAATGACTGGACTATTTGACAACTTGCTGTTTAGCTGGAAATTACATTTTTCAATCAGCTGGTGTGATCTGGTACATTTTCATATACAGGTTGATTCAGGTTTTGAGGCACAAACTGTAACATTAGTCCGATCTCGTCCAGAAGCGGAGCTACAGGGGGTCAAAGTTCAATAATTTTGTTCTATTAATTGAAATATCTCGCTTACTTCTTGAGATTTCATTTTGAAATTTGTTGTGGTCAATACTTCATAGAAGATCATCATTTCAAGCTATTTGAAGATTTTTCAAAATCTACAGGGTGATAGGTTTTTGTGGGTAGAGGCTTCTTTATCCCCTCCATCGTCGTACAGGGTGATTCACCATAAATGTCCCCCCCTCTAGCTCAGTTATTTTTGAACCGATTTTAAAATTTGAGATATCATCTTGAATCATTTTCGATAAAGTTTTTTTCCGCTAGATCAGAAAATACAGGGTGCTCGGAACAAACGATCTACAGGGTACTATTTGATTTTTTTTAAATGGAACACCCTATTTTTCATTGTATTTTTAGATTCTCCCTGAAGAGCTGATTTGATCAATGCATCACACTTGGGGTCTAGCGGGACTGATTACAGAGATATAGGGTGTTCAAAATCGAGATTTTTAACTTTAGGATTTTTTTTGTGACGAAACTATTCATTATCGGTCACGCGGTTTTCAATGCCGTATCTTAACTTTTTATTCACTATCTACTGACATTTAATAATTGGAACAGATACAGGGTGACCAGAATTCTGAATCTTGAACCACCCTGTAAATGTTCCAATTAAATTTCACTAGATAGTAAATCGAAAGTTGGGATGGGAACATAGAAGCCGTTTTGACCAATAATGAATAGTTCAAAAAAATCCCAAAGTTGAAAAATCTCGATTTTGAACACCCTATATCTCTGTAATCATTCCCGCTAAACCCCAAGTGTGATGCATTGATGAAATCAGCTCTTCAGGAAGAATCTAAAAATACAATAAAATACAGGGTGTTCCATTTAAAAAAATCATTTTAGATTATCTTTCAAATTTTTAAAACGGTTCAAAAATAAGTGAGCTAGAGGGGGGGACATTAATGGTGAATCACCCTGTACGCCTCTAGCATCTTCCACTGATCAGATTGTGTGGATCGTTCAATTCAGAAGCTTCTTTGCTTTCTAATTCTTTTCGAAAAAACGAACCGTTTTTGGAGATAAATAAGCATATACGTTCTAAGACATGTTGATTTTGCCTATGTTTCGCTTAAATTTTATTCTTAGACAAAATTCGTTGAGAATACAATGAAATGTACCCACTAAAATTGCAATCACTAGTCCAATCTGGATCAGTTACGGGAATACGGAGGGTAGAAAGTGGAGTTTTTTTTCAGTTAAATGAAATTTAAGCGAAACATAGACAAAATTAACATGTTTCAGAACGTATAATGCTCAATTATCTCAAAAACAGTTCGTTTCTCGAAAAAAATTGAGAGACATAAAAGCCTCTAAAATGAACGGTCCACACAATTTGATCACAAGAAGATGCCATAGGCGTACTACGAATAAGTTTGGGGGGATAAAGAAGCCTCTACCCCCAAAACTCTATCACCCTGTAGATATTGAAAATCTCAAAATGGCTTGAAATGATGATATTCTAAATAGTATCGACCACACCAAATTTTAAAATGATATCTTGAAAAGTAAGCGAGATATTTCAATTAATAGAAAACAATAATTAAACTTTGACCCCCTGTAGCTCCGCTACTGAACGAGATCGAACTGATGTATATATGAACTTGTCTGGTTGAAATGATGAGATATACCTCCCATTTCAGTTTGTGCTCTAAAACCTGAATCACCCTGTAGAACAGAAACTTAGATTAAGCGGATACATTGAAATGAAGATAAAAATAATTTGTCAACTGTTTCTCATTTTCAATCCTTTTATTGTGCCATCACCATGTTTTTTTTGTTCTGACTTTTTTTATATATTTTTTAAATATTTTGTAAATATTCATGGATTGGTTTCTTTGGATTTTTTTTAATCAATTTCAAATAAAATCTGGACCACCCTGTAATGAATAGTTTATAGTTTGTTATGAATATGGTTGATAATTTTTTACTTTCATATAACATTGTAAACAGTTTTGTAGGTACTCAAAAGAAGGAAATTACCTATCATTAGTGAGCCCAGAATATGCTTACATTTGTTTTTATTGAGTTTTTTTGTTTATTAGATTTTTTGTTTACCTTTTATTTATATTATTATACCCTTGTCTAGAATTTTGGAATCACTTATCTCATACCTACATCCAAGCCTGCACCTTCTATTTAGCAGATTTTTTTTATGTAAAATAATTTTATATATAATTATAGTAATATATAGTAACATGGTACATACTTACTGAGGTAGAACATACATATCGTTCATTCTCAAAAAAATATAAATTTAAAATGTTAAAAATCACAAATCATTTACCAGCTTACTAAATGAGAATACTTTTTTAAAAGTAGCTCAGTTCACAAATACTTTTGTATAAATATTTAATTCAATCATAATTATCAGAATTATACAGGGTGGTTTAGTTTATCATGACTGAATGGAAAAACTGAAAAGATTGACAATGCAATAAACTAAGCAAACAATCATATGAATAGGAACCTATTCAATCAGACCAGAAAATAGATAATGAAGTAAAAAGAGAGGGTATTGAAGGATGTATTGGGATCTGATCATTGGCATATTCAATAAAAGTGCAATCAATGTTTTTCATGAATATAGTACCACCTCCATATTTGCCACCCTGTATGTTGATTGAGATAACATAAAATAACATGATGTAATTTTCTTCCAAACAAATCTCTGTGTAGGTAGGTACCTACGAAATTTCCCTGGTAATTTCAGAGTGACATCTATTGAGCAATATTCATACATATTTCTAGTTGTATCTCAATCATTGAGTTATAGGAAACGTGTCCATGAAAAGAAACCACCTTTTGTTTAGATCTATTCAGATAAAACCTAGATAACCCTGTATTCCTGTGTATGCTAAATTGAATTAGAAAAGCGATTATAGATAAATAATTCTTATCAATGAGGTCAAAATAATAGAGATACAGTAGGTGATGATGATATAAGTGAAGAATCAAAATTTCCTTTTTCTTGACTTTTTCACGGAAAGCTGAGCTGTTGTATTAATTGGAAAATAAAAAAATAAAAAATGCAATATATATAGAAAAAATATTTTGGAAAATAAATCCAATATATAGTGGAAAAAAAGTAATATATTGGAAAATGAGGATTGAGGATCACATAATAGAAATTTATTAGATCCCTCAAATCACCATATATAGGTACTGATGGAGTTACATAATAACCAAGAGAATTTAAAATCTAATTAAAAACATATAATAGCGCATGGCGCATGCGTATCATGCCACCAAATCCTTATGGATATTCATTTGTTTCATATTTTTGGCTTCATCCTGATGGCACCCGTTATGATCCGTATTGTTTATTAATACGTATATGATATTACTATGCAATATTTAAAAAATTTCTGAGGCTGCAAAATAGGATGAAGAGTTTCTGATATCTGGAACATTATGTTATTGTTGCTTATACTCTTCAAACATGATTTCGTGTACCTTTTCAATTGCTCTAAAAAAAATTGTCCCTATTTCATTCAAATTCATTTATTCGATT